TTATGAAACACTGGTGCTAAAAACGAAGCCCCTCCGTACTGGTCTTCTGCGATAAGTGACCACGGCACCTGTCTAAGTGATTTATGCTTGATACACCTGGGCCAAGAGTAACTGATGATGTTACCGCCCTCCATCACTGGTGGATCCAGGAGGGGACCAAGGACTCAGGTAGCAGCTGTTTTACTACAGAAAACTCTTTTCGATCCCCTCTGCCCTCTCTCTCTCCCAGGAGTCCCCTTCTCTTCCGGTTGTCGATCCAGTTTAGGGTTGATTGGCGAGAGGTGCAGCGAGGCAAACGAATGAAGAGTAGTGTGCTGGTCGAGGGGAAGGTTGGGCTTGCAATGTAGGAAGAAAAATCGCCTAAATGTCCCCGAAAGGATACCGCCCTGGATCCGCCTGTGTCCTCCATCTACGCATCTCGCCTGTTTCAGCTATTGTCGGTCATTTCGTTCTTTCATAAATACCCTCAAAGCAACTGCAAACGAAGAACACAACGCGAAATGTGCGAATTAGGAAAGGTTTGTTTTCGATCCGTGATCGGTCCCCACCAAAAAGCATTGCAGAAGCAGAGAGAGAGAGATGGGGTAGAGGAACTACAAAGAGGCAAATACCTCTTTAACATTATATATCCCATTAGTAACTAACTCGCCTCGTGAAAGTACCTCTGCTTGCTCCAGTTGGGGGCATATGTGTAGGTTGGGAACGAAGCTGCGCGTTCGAGGAAACCAAAGAGGTGGCAAATTTGCGAAGGGGAAGGGGGGGGAGGGGGTAGGGTGCTCGCCGTCGGTGCTCGGAACGAGTTGTTGGTGTTCGCCGTGAATCACCCGGTCGCCGCCTGCATGACTAATCATCAGCGCACACCTATCAATTTTCCCTGGCTACTAGCCGGCAAGCACATCTATTTCGCGCAATGCTCGTTGCAGAGCTCTCGGTACAGGTTGGTATGTCGGTCAGTCGGAAAGGCCGGTAATTAGCGTCAGGTCGACGTTGTCCAGCAGCACCGTGCACAGCAGGCAGTAGTGTCTTTTAGGGAGAAGCCTCGCTGCATCAAAAAGTCAACGAGAATGCCGAGGAGAGGGGTGAGAATGCGAACCGTAAAAGTCTGCGCCTTCGGATCACCCCCGACGCTGAATGAGGTTCACAAGAACCGCAGAAAGAGGTACAATTTGAGTTGTTCGCCGATCCGATGCGCTTCGTCGCCTCCTAAAAAACGAATATTCCAAATTACAGAAGTAAGGTATTACTGCGTTTGTGCAAGAAAATAAATCAGATGAGCAGGACATGTTGCTCGTCTTGCCGACAACCGGTGGCCAATACACAGTGACTGATGCCCACGGGAAAGTAAACGACCACTCGGGTGAACCCCGAAGAGATGACGCACATACATAGAACAGGCGGTGTATATTAATCACAGGCGTGCCGTCCAGATTCAAAGGGTCGGGCATAGCTGCGCTAGGCGTGTGAGAGCATCCTAGTAACATCACTGTGACAGAGAATACTTTTCACACGGACAGCCCGAACAGTCTTGGTATAGAATTGTTCGAACAAAAAAAAAAATATGTGTATTTCCGAGCAGCACATATGCGAAACACAAATGCTAACGAACAAAGCGTCGAATTACGTTGGTCGAAGCGATGTAGTACGAAAGCAAACTGTTCGAGAGGGAAGTACGAGCAAAGTGCAGTAAGGTACGGCACGGTCAACGTGCTGCAAGGACACGGCGAGTGAACTCCGGAGAACCAAGACAAGGTTTTTTTTTGACAGGCTCCCAACAATGACATATACAACCCGCGGGATGAAGTTCGCCATGCTGCCTAGTAGGAAGGCCCCGTGTTCCAGAGACACAAGAAATGCGAGCGGAAAAAACCGGCAGTGCGCGAAAAAAGGACCAAAAAAAAAGGCAAAACGCAAAAAAGACGAGGATCACTTCGGAAGGTCAACCAGAAAAGCGTAAGAACATACTTCGCGCACAGAAATTAGCCATTAAAACGTAATGAATTAAACAATCAGGCAGTGAAAAGAACCGTGCAACCCCCTTTCCTCGACCCATCGCTGATGCAGCAGCAGTACCAGTAGTTAGGCCCACTCTGAGCTTGTCCTAACTGCGCAAATGGACTTCCTCTCCACTACACCGCCGGTGGTGGCCTTCGCTTTGTTCTTTTCGTATCCGTTGTTTTGTCCACCTGTTGCCTCAGATTTGCCACATATCCTTCTCGCATACACTACACACCCAGGGCAGGATCGTTCGAGCTCGGCAACCGCTGTGCAAACGTACTGAGACCGACCCCGATGACACCTCCACGTGTCGCCCTTCACATGCGTGGCTCACTTCACCCGACTCTCCTACACGGCGCTAAGGCACTGGCACAACGAAGTCCACATGCGCAAGTTTGCCCGGTGTACCGAATTTCAAGCCCCTGCCGACGGCATCCGGAAACAATGTCTACTACTGCCGCACACACATATACACACACACACACACACACACAGACAACCGTCGCATGCTATCCGACCAAACAGCCACAAACGGACACCTCACCGCCACTCCATCTAAACACACCGCCGCAATGGGTGCATGCAAGGCTGTCGGAGCACTAGTGCACTTCCCTGGATAATGTCGCCTTCGCATTCCACAACGCTCTTTCCTATATATGTCGTCGTGTCTGTGTGTTTGTATGTCTGCCTGTGCATGCCTATCGACGTGGGCGTGTGTGTGTGTATGTGCGGAAGGCATTCCACAAAATTCACAGATTTGTTGGATGTATACGTTAATAGGGGGTGGGAGCTGCGGGGAGGAGGGCAGACCTGAGGCTTCCGCGAGCGGGACGGGTTGTAATAGGCAAACGAATCGAAGGGACAAACGGGCCCAAGGGGACGGCAGAAAAAATCATTGGCGACGCGCACAGGGCGGACCCGTGCGATCATGCGTTTTTGCAGTGTTTCGTACTGTAATAGGATCACTCGAAATTCCGCTAGCTGAGAACTTCTGACATACTAATCCTTAAATTTCGGGAAGTTAATTGTCCATGCTATACTTGGACAGGAAATATTCCATTGAAATCCCAGGTTCTCAGCTTTCTCAGTTCCCGAGTTACCCAAATTTCAGCCAAAAAATTTCACGAGGCCGTACGTGGCAACCACGCATGACTGAGGGCTGGATTTGATAAATTTAAGTAGAAGATGAGCTAGGAAA